GTGGCTTGGTGGCTTGACTGAACTCAGGAAGAAAAGCTGTGACTAGACTTGACTCATGATAATGAATTGTAGTTATTCAGTTATGCAGTTATTCAGCTAGAATCTTATGTGTGGAGGTCTGTGGTCCAATAATTCATATCTCTGTTTTGGCAGAATTTCATAGGAGAAAATTATTAACCATGCCATCTTTTATATAACAATACATACTGTTACCTTGGAGAGTTGTGAAGTTTTGTCAGATTGTGAGGAAGTAAACTACTCAAAAAATTAAGGGAACACCTAAATCACACATTGGATCTCTATGAATGAAATATTTACGTTTAAAATTATTACTTGTGTACATTGTCATTTGTTGAGAACAAAATGATGCCACAATGGTCAATTGAAGCTAAAATCATCAACCCACTGAGGACTGGATTCAAAATCATACCTAAAATCAAAGTAAAAACATGAAATTTATCGAACTACAGCAAATCATAATGTCAGTAGTGTGTTTGGAGGGCCAAACATGAGGGCCAGTCAGTGGCATCAATGCCTTCATCGAAAAACACAAGAGGCGGGGCATTGTTATACACCAGGAGGAACCCACGGCCCACTGCACCAGTGTAAGTTCTGACAGCGGCTCTGAGGATTTAATTCCGGTAACTAACAGCAGTAAGGTGTAGCTAGCATTCATCCTCGGGCCACCACAGATCCTCTGCCAAACCGGTCATGCAAATGGCAGACATGCAAATTCTGCTGTTCTCTGGCACATGCCAATAGAGCTGCACGGTGCTGGGCTGTGAGCACAGGTCTCACCAGAGGACGTTGTGCCCTCATGCCACCCTCACAGTCACAGCAGTAGCGTTCTGGAGGTCATTTTGGAGGGCTCCGGTAGTGCTCCTCCTGTTCCTCCTTGCACAAGCCAATATTCATCCTGCTGCTGGGTTGTTGCCCTTCTACGTCCCTGTCCAGCTCTCCTTGTGTAATGGCCTGTCTCCCGGTATCTCTTGCATGCTCTCGACACACACCAAACCTCCTTGTGATGGCACGTGTGGATGTGCCATGGGGGTTGATTTGCTGTTGCTTCTCCTGTGCACCTGTTGTCACCTACCATGCTTCCTAACTGGACAGATTGATATCCTTGACATTTAACTGACTCAATGTTTTACTGTGATGATTAGGTGTTCCCTAGTATTGGAGTATTGTGGTCATAATTGTGAAATTGAATGATTATGTCCGTCAGGGGAAGCATAAACAAGGAGAAAAACAGAGGACCTAATACTGAGCCCTGTGGCACACCATACTTGTGTTTGATGAGATATCCTTCATATACAAGTGGTAGCATATAAAATATTTAACTTTAGTAAGAAAAGTTTCTGTGCTACGATGGGGCTTAAATTAATCTTTTTTTCCCTGACATATCTTTCACTTGGATGCTATATGAGTAAATATAGCTGGATAAAACAAAAACTGTCCATCTTCATTTCAGGTGATGTTGGTTTGGATATCTGTTGCTTTGTGCCATTAAACTGTGTTTAACTATTTATCTTTATTTTTTCGCTTTAGACCTGATGGTGCTGAAAGAGGAGAGTCAAGAACAGAATGAAATTGAAGAGAAAGAACAGTATGAGAAACATCATGATTTCATGACTGGAGAAAAATCCACAAAGACTGAAAATACTTCCTCACAAAAAAGAGGGCATAAGACCAAATCCAAGAGTTATTTCACCTGCAGTCAGTGTGGAAAGAGTTTCAATCAGAAACAAAACCTTGATGTCCACATGAGAGTTCACACTGGAGAGAAGGCGTTCACCTGCCAAGAATGTGGAAAGAGTTTTACACAGAAAAGCACCCTTAATTACCACACAAATATTCACATTGGAGAGAGATATTTTACCTGCCAACAGTGTGGAAAAAGGTTCATACATAAACATAGCCTTGAAGTCCACAAGAGAATTCACACTGGAGAGAAACCTTACACTTGCACTCAGTGCAGAAAGAGTTTCACACATAGAAACACCTTTAATTACCACATGCGCAGTCACACTGGAGAGAAGCTGTTCTCATGTGATCAGTGTGGAAAGAGCTTCACACGTAAAATAAGCCTTAATAACCACATGAGGAATCACTCAGGAGAGAAATGCTTTATATGTCATCAGTGTGGAAAGCGTTTCAGTCATAAAAGTAGCTTCGACACTCACATGAGACTTCACACTGGAGAGAAACCGTACACCTGCAAACTGTGTGGGAAGAGCTTCTCACAAATAGAAAATCTTAAGATTCACATGAGAATTTGCACAGAAACGGACTGTGTGTGTGTGTATGTGTGTGTGAGAGAGAGAGAGAGACACAGCAGGTAAATGTGTGTGTGTGTGTGTGTGTGTGTGTGTGTGTGT